AAAAAACACCGTAAATACCAATGTTTTTGGCGGGTCGGAAGCCCAAAACCACGGTATTTACGATGTTTTTTGCCTCTGGTAGCAAAAAGCACGGTATTTACAGTGTTTTTTGGCCAGCATCTAGCAAAAACACTGGTATTTACGGAAGTTTCACCATGTAACAAAATGTGGTTTCTTGATCCGAAAAGAACAAAAATACTGTAAATTACAATGTTTTGAGTCTGCTCTTAGGGTGCGTGGGAGGCGTGGAGGGGGGGGGGGGTACTAAAATGACTAGCAATCTCCTGAATAATCAGGTAACGGGGCTGGCCGCCCTCCCCTTTACTTCGTAAAGTAAAATTCAAGGTAGCCCCTCTGGAGCTACCTTTCGTGAATTGCAAGTTGGGCTTGACCTCCCATTTTGAGACATACTCATGTGGTTTATTCGATGGTGAAATCTCTGATCTTGATGAGCACGGTGGATAGTTGCAAAATCCTGCACCACCGAAAGGAAGGGTGAAACCCTATAAATAATGGGATAAACAACTTATCAACTGGTGCAGGATTTCTTCCATCCACAGTATGTCATATACGGACTATCCCAATACATCCCTATCCCAATAGTATCATCCCTATATGATTTCCATTATACCTGGGTATCTCCCATCCCAAACAAGACATACTGTATATATATATATATGTGTGTGATTATATATGTATATACGTATATATCCCCAAAAAAACGCTGATTTTTTGAAGCTATAACTTTCTTCTGTCAGCATAGAGCTCGTTCGTTAAACTTCGCCAGGTCGCCAGTGCCGCATGCACGGCCATCTGCGCTAAGACCGAGCAGTAGATGCTGTCAAAGGCGTTGGCCGGAACGGCTCGGATCATGTAAGTTGGATCGATGTACCTGTCGTGATCGAACCTGACTAAATGGGATGCAGGTTTTATGGAAAAAAAGCCCATGGCATGGTTACTTTATGTTACTTGATCTATTTTCATGGATGGACATGGGATGATTATCCCAAGCATCATAGGCTATAAATGCTTGTAAATGCTTGCACATGCTTATTAAGATTATAGAAGTATATTAATTTTAATAGTATATTAATATATAAGTAAGTTATAGTCCACAAAGTGGGATGCACATTGAAGATGACCAAGATGTTGGGGGCAAACCAAGGCCAAAAAAATTAGCCATGGCGGGGCAGAGTGTTTTTGGTCGCGAACATTTCCAGAAGGTTTTCTGCCATGCTCTGCCATTAGCAAATTTCCAGTCTATACGACATCTACATTGAGCTCCTCACCATTTGCGAGGAGCTAGGCCGGGTTCTGATTTGATGCAAGGGTCTCGTGTCAGACAGTGCAGCAACAACAGCAGAATCATCTACCGCCCAATGTCAATTGAAAAAAAGGGACACATTGACGAGCCATCACTGAGACCGCTCCGAATCCTGGTAAAGAGGTGTTCAACTCTTTGATACCTCAAGAATTCGAGAGAATATTTAAAAAAACTCCTCAAGATGTCTCTGACATCCCGCTGAGTCATGGGGCCCATGGGGCTACCTGCTAAGATCTGCTAGCATCTTCTAGCATCTGCTAACATCTCTAGACTTTCACGGTGCAATCTTCTTCTATGCCCGTCACCGCTCCGTCAGTGATATCAAAGAAGTCATTCTCCCTGGACGTCCCGCCAGTCGTGCCAGGTGACATGTAGTCCTCATCCTCAGGGATGAGGCTCACGTCTCCAAAGACTTCTGAAGGTTCCACTAGACATCGACTCCGTGCATCCAGCCACAAGGTCACTTCAATGTGAGCATCGAGCTCCTTGGGATGCGCGTGCTCCAGACTTTTGGACTTCAGCAACAGTTTGATGCCTTGGCAAGGACAGAAGTTCAAGTTGACAAACCGAACAATCCAGAATCTTCCCAATTTTCTGGAGGAAATCAAATGGCATGAGAAATCAAAGATGATTTCGCTTGGGGATTAAACATTTCCCCCCAGGGAGATTCTTGGTAGACTAATGTGGCATCCATACAAATTACGTTCAAGTTCAATACGCCAGAAACTGGGGATAGTGACTTTTACCATCATGGACCCCCCATCAATGGACTCTTCAACTTTTTCTGCACTGAGGTGCCGTCCAGTAAACTAACATAGATGTGGAAACCCAAACTGTGTGTAGATAGATAGATAGATAGATAGATAGATAGATAGATAGATAGATAGATAGATAGATAGATATATATATATATATATGTACAGAGATCATTTTCGGCACGGGAAACCATGGCTCTTACACATCTTTTGCATGTTTACCCGCAGAAACCATGGTTCAATAGGGATGAAATCACATATTTGGGACCACCATTAACGGGGCTGGTTAGTGTTAGTTTGGATGGGGAGTGGGATTATTAAACCAAAAAACCATGTTATTGAACATGTCAGTAACCTGTTGAACATCTATATTGTTTTACCCCAGGGATTCCCAGGGTATATTAAAATCATTTAAAATCCCCCTGGGTAGTCCAGCAGATTTTTTTTGTAGGTCCAATGATTCGGGTTTCCGGTAATCATAATTATAACTATTGTAATTATCAAAAATGATACTTGGTAATTAGTAGTTATGGTAATTGTCCATTTGGTTATTAGTATAACTTAACCATGGTATAAGTAGTAATTATGGTAATCAAGAAATGGTACTTGGTAATTAGTAATTACAATTATGCTTTCTGGCAATGTCTATTTAGTTCTATTTTACTCGATTGAAAGCCACGCGCTTGCTATAAGTCTAAAAGTACATAAGTTACACTTATTGTTCATTCTTGGACAATGGCTGACACTCCAACGGTTGGTGTTTTTTGAGTGTATATGTCACCAACTAACAGATGGAAACAATAAATAGTTGCACTCCAACTAACATATTCCACTGCGTTTCTTTATAGTTTTTGGATCGTATAAACCATCAATGGCAAGCGATTATTGCCTGCTGCAGCCTGCTGTGATTACATCTGGTAATTACATGTAATTACAACTATTGTCATTTTTGGTAATTCATAATAACTATAATAACAACTACAGTATAATCAACTATAACAAGTATCAACTATAACAAGTACTATAATCAACTATGGATAACAAGTACTATAATCAACTATAGATAACAAGTAATTAACAAGTACTATAATCAACTAGAATAAGATATAATAAGTACAACCATTGGCATCGCCGTGGTGCCGTTGAATTTCTGATTCTCCCAGGCCAGCAAGCCCCGCAGATGCTTCAGCGCTTTCGCCAGCTCAGCGCTGCAGCGCTGGCGCCGGTACTTGTGAAGCATCCAATGCCCGGTGAAGCACAGCAGGGGACCAACCGCTGGAAGCATGTAACCCAGCATTTCATCGCAATCTTCCTGGAAAATTATGAGAAAATGACCGGAAATGGATGGAATCCATAGGGGTTTTCATGGGATGGAACTCAAGCAAATACTTAGGCAACATCTTGCAACCGGTCAAGAATGATAGGTCAAGGGGTATTAATTAGGTGTATTATATAATATATTTATGTGATTGTATATGTAATATTATTAATGTAATTGTATGTGGCAAAATTAAAGGGCATTATATGGCCTTGAGGTGTGATCCATTTTACCAGTGTGAAACTTAGACCGGGCCAAATGGGAATTCCATTAAAAATTGAGAGAAGTGACGTGCCTGAGGATTTCACAACGGGCCCCGGATCCTGGATGTGAATCAGTAAGAGCACAAAATACGAGAACAGGCTCAGCACCAAAATACAGCTGCTGACTAAGGTGAGGTATCGAAGTCGCCTGGTGACCATATAGACCTGCAGCAAAACATTGTCCACGTGAGACTTCATGGATGCGTATCGCGGCAGGGAAATGTAGCTGTGAAGTCCCTTTGGCAGCTCTTGGAGCACCATGGGCAAGCGATCCATGCGGTGTTGATGCACAATCTTCAGATTATATCGGCACATACGAAGATTCGTCGTGTCCATTGTGCCCGAGAGACTGCTGGTGCACTGAACACCACCCGAAAAGGTTACCCATCTGTTATAGGAACCGAGACCTTGCGGAAACGCGCAGCTCTGGGTGTGTCTGAACATGCATCCCAGTATCCCCCCAAATATGGCTGCTATTGGCTGCTTAAGGGGAAATTTATGATGAAGCAGTGAAGTGTTGAAGAACGTCGTAGCGAGATTGAACTGAACATCACCACTTGTATCCGTTTGTGACATGTCGGGGCGAACATGTAGAATTGAATCTAACTAGTGCCCAGTACATGAATGCGGCCTGCCCCTTCCTGGGAATTCATATGCATGGGCGCCCGGGTCACTTGATGGTGCATGGCATCTTTAAGCTCTTCATGTGCTTTGTGATGGCATCCTTCAAGAATGGGCCTGGGCGTGGTACAGGTAGAGACTTTGACTTTTTTGGGTGCCCGATAGTGGCACTCTGCTAGAGGAAAGTCATTGAAGTATCATTAAAGTAATTGCAAATAAATGCCAATCACAGATCAGTGAAGTTGCATTGGCACCCTTCAAGTGTTTCTTCGCATGTTTTCTTGAAACTCTGGAACACGTGACCCCATGGGGTGGAGCATAATTCTACTGACCTGTGGTTGATTTTGCTACTTTCAACATTTCCACGTTTGTTGAGGTCTCCGTACTTCTTTGTGGATGAAAAGTATGAAATGAACATCCACCAAGAATTGCTCTGATTCAAACTATGTCTGAGGGGTACAGCATTTGCTGCTGAGCTCTTTCACTATATATATATATCTATATAATCCCCTCAAAACTTATTAGGCAAATTTACCGCCTACAAAGGTCGTTTTGGTCTTTTTGTCAGCTTTCAATTCCGTCAAGAATTCTTCAGGTCTTCCTGCCCCTAAAAATCAACCAATCACCCAACTATGGTTTCCTTACCCTCTGGTTATTCAACATAGCCATGGAAATGGCCCATTTATAGATGGTTTACCTATTGAAAATGGTGATTTTCCATGGCTAACTGTTAAATATAATGTAACAAATAACCAGGTGGTAAACGTTTCCACAATGAGTTGAAACTCAGCTGGCTCATAGCCCGCCCAAGACGCCCAGGCGCCTACATCGGCAAGCACCTTGTTGCCGCCAGCATCAGTGCCTGCACCGCTGCTGATGATGGTATCACCACAGCCTCGGCTGTTTGGGTGACAGTGTGGCTGAGGGTCCAAGCAAAAACATTGCATGATATAGCACTATATATAGCTACGTACGTATAGTGTGCTATAGTCTAGTCAGTTTGGTCATGTATACCCCCTTTTCCATTGCTTGGTTGATTAATAGAGTAGTCATTCCCATTAAACAGCCAATAGGTGAGTGATGATAAATGGTATCCAAGCCAACCCATCTATTTTCCCAAAAGGACACCATTGGTGACCCTTCCCCAAGTTAACCTAGACCCTGAACATATCAATATTCCAAGATTAAACGTAAAATATCTTAAAAATCATACTGTATACCCAGGAAACCTCCCAATTTTGGAAGATGCAAAACTCAGATCCATCAGGGTATGCTTTGAAAAAGCAGCCTACTTTGCACGGCCCAAATGTGGGACAGGTCATATTTGGAAGATGAATTCCCGGGGGAAGAATACCTTGGACGAATGCCATGCCGGAACAGATTCATAATTTACAGGGGCGGAATAAGGTAGCAATATGTAGCAATGGTATCAACAACAAGAGATCATCGCCTTCACTTGCAAAAATCTGTCACAACAAGCTGTGAAAAAAAAAGTCGTGAACGTGGAAAACTGGGTTTCAAAGATTATTTTCCGTGGGGATAAGACCAGGATTGACCAGGTCAGGTCGGATTTCAAGAGAGCACTTCACCAGAAGGTCCATCAACTGGAGCTACCCCAATCACAAATTCGGTGAGTGGTTGGCGCCCGACTGATAGATAGCCATTTTCCATGGCATTTGTGCGTTTTTCGTGCTTCGGTGAGGTGGGGTGGGAGGGGGGGGCAATAACGTTTAAGTACCAGTTGCACATCCAGTCAATACGTTCAGCAGGCACGCGCATAGGTGATATTCGATAGATCAAGTAAGGTTACAGGGATCATGGCTGATCATGGTATTGTACGTCAGTAGAATAGTTGTGAAGTTCGTGCGCACGGATCATTTTACGTCATCAGAAGGGTTGTGATTTATGTGCAACCCGCTCTTGATGCTACGCTCTCAACCTTCTTAAGCAAACATTTATTGCCAGCAGCTTTCCACGATGCTTGCATCATGGAATCAAAACACAAGAACATCTGAGAACTTCATAAGCTCCTTTACGGATACTGCTGGCGACAATCCTTAGGTCCACTGACGCCTGAGGAATTTATGAAAGAAATCTGCAAAGCAGTGAAGGCATGCAAATGCTTCTAAAACAAGGGGAACAAGTGCTTCAGCAACCCCAAGTTGAAGAAATGAAATGCAAACAAATAGTAGTCTTCCAATTTTACAAAAGGATGCAAAAGGCTGTTTTTTTCAGACAACAAGTTTGAAAAGTGGCGTTTTGCTGCGGCGAAAACGACATCTATGTTGATCTGCTCACGAAACCACAAAGCTAATTATGGGTCGGGAACCAAGTAGCTGCCCACCATTCTTGATTCGTGAAATAGTGTTACCCTCTGGTAATTTAACATAACTATGGAAAATCACAATTTTTCATGGGAAAACTCACTATAAATGGTGATTTTCAATAGCTATTTTGACATAACCAGAGGGTAACATCCCTGTCTCTTGTCGATTCAACTTGACCCCCGGCCCTCCCAATCCTTCGGCAACGACGATCACGGCGTACTTCTGGCGTTTCATGACCTGCCAAGTGTCGAAACCCAGCTAGCATCCGGTAGCTCAAATGTGGCAATGGGATGAATGGACATAAATGGAGGTTTTAGTGGGAAACATTGGGAAACACATCTATGGGGGATTGTCCATTGCCATGCTTCATTACCGGTATATTTTTTTCCTGTGGGTGCGACATGGGGTTCAAACATGTTCAAAGCATGAACGCTTGCAGCAGGTTGCTACCCTATGACCCATCCAAGTGGCGCAAACTGGTGCGGTATCTGCCTCCATGAATCACTTGGGTTCTAGATCTGGCATGGTCAAAATTCCCGTTTTCAAATGCAACATCTTCCAAGGCCATTCTTGCAGGTTCCATGTGTAAAACAAAGGCGGAGATATGGAGACATGACACGGCCATATTTGCTAGTTAGTGTGCTTCAGTGAGTCGGACCTCCCCAAACAAATCCCCTAAAATATCAATATCTATCCCAAGGTCAGGTGACCTCAGTGACATAGTCCATCAGCTTTTCCAAGTTGATGTTCATCTCTGGGATGAGGCACACATCTGCATTGCGCCTCGGGTCCCCAACTGTTGCGGGACAGGCGCGCCGGAGGCTCCGCATCGGCGGCGGTTCCAGGCTTATTTTGCAGATTGACCCATGAAGGCATGGACGCAGGACTACATATCACATTATTCACATATTGCATATGACATGATCACAAGGTATTGCCAGGGGATAATAAATGTCAGGTGAGGTTCTCTCTCTGGGACATTTGTCTGCCAACCATCCATCTCTCCTCTGTCATCCTGACTTGTCCCCCAAATGTTTAGCATCTTTGGCAAGCATTCCACCATCTTTCTATCCCATCACAATTTTAACCCCTGAACTTGCCTTTCTAAGCCATCAAAAACACAAAAAAACACCCTAAGTCATCCAACCCATGCGTCTGACTGAGTTCTAATCCTTCACCAGCCACACCTGACTTCTTCAGTGATATTGAGGAGTTTCCCTCATCATCTTGCCCTATGAACAATGTGGTCCAATGACATCCCCTTTGGTTCACCCAGAACTATCTTCCAAATTCTAGGAATACAGAATTCCTCCTTGTCGGGGACTTTCTAATCTTTATAGCACCCAAAGGATAGAACAGTACAGTCCCACTATATCCACTATCCACTAATTGGTGAGTTTCATTATTAGCTTTGCAGCTTTTCCACCAAGTCACGCAGCGATCGAGGCCAATGCCGCGATCCATCCGCAATGCCGACCCATCAACTTGACCAATCCGATGCAGTTGGCGTTGGTCGTTGCTTCCACGTAGGCCGAATCGATGGCCTTCCGCGCCTGGGCGACAGACATAAGGGGACCAGGCTCCCAATGCTCAAGGGACAATTTGACAAATATGCTGGTTTTTTGAGCACCGTAGAGTTTTTCTTGGAGATTTTCAATGCTTGAAGATGCCCCGAAACTCTGTCAGCAAAGGTTCTTGTTTGTAAAAGATAGTGAACATATATGCCGATGCCCGTATATGCCTGTATCATTTGCTGTAACCTTGGCTTTGCCACATTAAATAAGCATGGTTTTGTTTCCATTTTTGCCTGCCAAAGGGCACCCCCTGGTTTTGTAGGTAACCCCCCTATTTTGCTGCAAGTCCTGCTGCTTAAATCACCATATCTTGGTGCCAAAGTCCGAGTATTTTCACTGCTTGGTGGTATACCTACCCCTCTGAAAAATATGAAAGTCAGTTGGGATTATTATTCCCAATATATGGAAAAAACATGTTCCAAACCACCAACCAGTTCAGATTTGTTGGTGGTGAAAGGTCCACTTGCAAGGGCTTCACGCCTCTGTACAGGCAGTGTCGAAGCCGAAGGTCTGGTCCTGCGAAAACCACAGAGATCCTGGGGAAATCTAGGTGATTTGGACACATTGACAACGATTTATATTTGTGCATATCATCAGATCTACAACTTGGTTTTATAATGTTTTATATGTATTCTTCTTCTCCTCACTTTCCTCTTTTAAGATAAATACTTTCCAATCGCGTTTCTCAATTCTTTGTGTATACGGATGCGCAACTTCCGAAACCAAAGAACATATGAATAAACTGTTTTTTTTGGATGATTTCCATTACCAACATGAAACCTGTGAAACAGGGTTACTGATGGAAAGGGTATGTAAGGGTTTGATCAGAACCACTAAATGACATATAAATGATGATAAATACATTTGATAAATGGCAATTTCGACGAAACACATTGTGCTTAACATTCAATTTTTGCGTATTACGTCATCCCGCAGTTTTGGACAACACCCAAATTTCCCACCACAATGGCTCCAACCCATCCCAAGAACATGAAAGGCTGGGCAAATTATGACACTTCCCAGAATAGCATCTAAGAATCTAAGCCAATATTTGGGCATGATTCCTGTTATTAATGCTCATCTCGAGCTAGGGTGTGGTTCGCGAGGTTGCTGCAATTTTTGCAGATGGAAAAGCAGAGTTTCCACAGGAAAATGATCTACGAATGGCGGATTGTCACTGGATTTTCCATCTATGCTGGTCTAATGAAATTTCAAGAATCATCGTAAAAGGTTGAATGGGGCAACTGCAAAACCCAATTCTCCCAGCAGGAAAGTTGGAATTTTAGTCCTGAACCCAACAAATACCAGAACCCAATATGTATGAAGGTATCTGAGTCAGGCTTCCTGTTGTCTCAAACCTATAAACATCACTTTCCAGAGGGGCTGGACACTTATGCAACCACAGGAAAAATGTCATTTCGGTTTGTCTAAAAATAAGGCGCCCCTAAACCCAATGGTTAAACACAATTATCCCTGTTAAACGGCAATTTTGCAGGCGTGTAATGGTTTTCATACACCATTTACAAACATACCCATTTGGCTGGACAAAATGGCGAAATACTAGGACGAAAACAAGGACCCGAATTGTGAAACCAGGAGGGTGGGGTTCGGTCCACAAGCGTGATGTCATTGTCAATGGTCTTGGGAACGCCAACCACGGCACACCTTGAGCAACATCGAAATTGTCAACGTAAAAATCCCCCCAAAAATAGACGCAGTAAGGGTCACGATGATTTTGAAGGTCATCAATGATTCAAGAACTATATTTGTCAATCCAGTTTGATGCTGGCAGGTTTCCTATTTCAGCAACATACAACTAAGCCCCTCACTAGTCATTGGGTCTACATTCCAAGCACACCAACATCACGGGCTACACTCATCGACATCTATATGCTGAACCCTGCATAAGGCTTACCCCAGTCCTGTAGTCAACCCAACAGCCAGGTGTTGCAGAAACTTAGTTCGAGTACAGTTTACCTTTCTTATCAGCCCAGTAATTCATATACAATTCGGTAATCAGTCACATGGCTTGCTTGAAAATCTCCCATTCAGTTCGATGATTTTCCCAGCTTTTTCTTGCTCCATGGCTAGGCCACGGGGATTTCCCATCGCCATATGACTGATCGACATATGCTTGGATTTGCACCCGGCAAAGTGCGTAACATGTAACAACCACTTTATAATCCAATGTTGTTTTTATGCATAGGATATCCATCAGTAATTAATCTAGGTTATCGACCCACCTTTGGATGCAACCCCCACGGTGAGGCACTCGTGGTTGATCTCCGTCATTGAAGTGAATGAGCTCATGGCCTCAACGAAGGATGCGACCACAGGTTTTGACCCAGGCAACCGACGTTTGGAGTAGGGATTTCCTTTTGGTCTTGGCGTGTCCCGAACCCAAGCATGTTTTCATAATTTATCTGCTTAAGCTGCTGATGATTAAGCAACTCACCATGATCTTTTCTTGTCTTTGTCACTTGCACACACACACACACACGTCACACACACACACACGTACTGTACGTATATACATATATATATATATCAACAATTTAGTGTGACTATATCTGATAGATCTGATAGATCTGATATACCTATCTATCTATCTATCTACCTATCTATCTATTTATACATATATCGATATAATATATATATATATATCTATCTATCTCTCTCTCTCTCTCTCTTTCTATATATATATATCATCTAATATATCCAATATATTAGTTTCAGCAATGACTTTTCTCAACCCTGACTTCAGCAGTCGTGACTGAGGCTCCAGCCCCCTTGTGCGTTCCATCACCTAAGGGGCACACAAGTGGGAACAACGGGAGATTCTTGGGAGCCAGGGGAAAAAACTGTGCAACTCAATCAATCTATTCTAGTAACTGGTGTAGCAATTTGACAAATTGACTGATATCTTGCAATAAATCATGATCAAAATCATGTTAAGTCTGAGTATGGTCAAGCTTGGACCCCACCAAAATGGCCAAACTTTGGTAAACTGGAAGACCCTCAGCTTCCAACCGCCCAGAACGAAAAACTGTCGCACGTTTCGGCGTTGCATCACCTGGCGTTGGGAAGATCCGGGAAGGTGAACCCCAAAGCATTGCTGTCTGATCCTTGCGAATTCCATTTTGGGGCAGATGTTCACTACATATAATTGATCTGTAATCAATTATATCTATGTTTGTGTATATCCTTGCGTATCTATCTATCCTCATGGCTGAAGTAGTAACCCCTAGCAGAGCTTTACCCGGAGATGAGGCATTGCACCACTTCATGTGAGCAGCCGGCCCTTCCTTTCCTTCATGGACGGACTTACGTCAAGAAACTACCAACCATAAATGGGTCTCGGGAATATTCGACACGCCATTTGAGAAGCTGCTCCCATTGACTTTAGCTAAGAGGTATATAACTTCGAAACTTCGCGGCTTCCATCTTCAGATACTCCCAAGATCCATTCCGAGCTTTGAAATCGCAGGCGATTTCATGCTGGTTGGTGGTTTCACCACCCATTGAAAACACCCAAAATAGGACAGTCAACCGGATCCCACGTATATAGGGTTGAACACACACCCACACACTCTTACACACACACACACATATATATATACATATTACATATATACAGATGTGAAAATAACCATACATATGCACCAAAAAAACCACTAATCAGGCATTCCAAAGAAATCAACAGCTGGGATGTTTGTGTTGACCCTGAGTTCCTGCCGGCAGATTGCTGGCGGCAGCTAAAATCTGTGTCCATATATCTTGGAAAGCAAGAAAATAATACGATATACACCCAGAAACCTGGATATATACATATATATATATATTTCACTACAAGGGGAGAGAGAGAGATATATAATATATATATATATAATATATATATATATAATATATATATATATAATATACAAATATAATATAATGATATATATATATTATACAAATCTATATGTATGATTGATTATATTTGTATGTATCTCTCTCTCTCTCTCTCCATCTCTATCTCCCTCTATGGGCCACTCTTGGACCTAGCTAAGTCGGCTCAGTGTATAAAACCTGGTGGCTTCAATCCCTTTGAACAAAATAGGTCCGTGGTGAGTTGGGAGTCTCGCTTTGAAATCTTTGAAAACCAAGTAAACGGTTGGTACAACGTCTCAGGTTTGTTTCAGGGTCTGATTTTTTTTTTTAAATAGCGATATAAGTGGATATAAGTGGATCCATCTCCATGTTTTCTTTCCCACATGTGGGTGCCCCACATCAAGCCACCCTCTTTCCTGATGAAGTTTGAAGTTCTGAGACCCTTCAGGGTCATCCCGGAAAGTGATGAATTTCTCTGAATGCTCCACTTGAACATCTTGAACTGAGGGGTAACAAAAACACCAGGGATTGACATTGGAATCATTAGAAATGGGATGTGCCGCTATGTGCTGAGCGAATTTCTGTGAAGCTTCTGGTCCGAGACATGGCCCGACATGATGCCCTTTGGGCATCAAAGGGATTCCAGTCCGGATTCTGCGGGTTTCCGTTTGCGCCGAACGCGTAGGTGTCCTGAATCAAGCCCTTTTAGGGGACTTTGCCCGCAAGAAAGGGTGGAACAGCCTCCTCAGTTTTCATTAGATTAAAACGATCGAACCCGAAGGTCAGTGACTTCTGATTTCCTTCTTGACGTTTGTCACGAACAGAGGAAGCTGCCAAACAACAGGCGCAATCTTCTGCAAGGGCAGCCTATCAACGATGTCAGGACGTTGAGACGTCCGAAAATTGTGCATTGTGTTTTTTGGTCGAAATCCCCAATCTCTTTGGAGGACCCTAAAAGAATCATAGTCAGTAGGACAGGACATTTCAACTGCGCCATGGACCAAACAATGTAAGGTGCGTAGATCTATATTAGACATTGTCATGATTCGCCATGGGCAACCTGCAATGACAAACTTTTCGTTGGATTAAATTCCCCTACGCAGTGATTTCTTTTAATCATC